CCCCCCGAGGGGATGGTCACGCCGCAATCCCTTCTCCTCCATTCTCCTCTCGGGATCTTGGGCACACACGCACACATGCCCGGTGTGAGTTTTAAGCCACTGGGTCCGGGAAGTGAACCGTGGTCGACTACGTGGGAGTCCAGCGACATAGCCATTACACTAACTGCTGGTTCCCCATTTATATATATTTTGTACCTTTAAAAATAGCTCACAGTTCTTGAATATTATGCTCTAAGTTTTTCATTCTTTTTTTCCTCCCCTCTTTGAATCTTCATTCAGCAAATTTCTATTGACCTGTCTTCAAATTCACTGGTTCTTTCCCTTTCCATGTTCACTCTTTTCAATAAAGTCATTCTTCCTTTCTGTTACAGTGGTTTTGGTCTCTAATATTTCCTTTGGATTCTTTCTTAGAGCTACTGTGTTTCTACATTTCTGCACTTATATGTTTACTTTTTCCATTAGAGCTTTTATCATCATCATTATAATTATTTAAAATTCCTTGTCTGAGAATTCCAACATCCCTGGCCATATATGTGTCTAGTTCTTGTGCTTCTTTGGTCTCTTTAGACTATGATTTTTCTCGTCTTTTAACATAACTTGTATTTTTTTATGAAATTTTTCTTATATTCAGTCATACTGAGCAATAGGAACTGAGGTTAGTAGACTTTTTGCATGAGGCTTTGTTTTAATCTGATGAGTAGTGGGATAGTGTTTACTGTTTACATAGAGATGTGAGGGGCTTTACTCAGCACAATTCATTTGAGATGCTTATGTGTTTTGGTGTATTCTTTTTGTTCCCTTTTCATGGCTAAGTAGTATTCTATGTCATAAATGTGCTGTCTTCTATTTATTCATTCACCAGTTGAAAGGCACTGTGTCGTTTCCAGTTTTTGGTGATTACAAAAATATTCACTGCAAATATTTATATATAGTTTCTAATGCACATAGATATTTTCATTTCCCTTGGATTACTACCTAGGATAGGATAGCTGAGTCACATGGTAATTTCATTTATCTTTATGAGATTTTCATTTGTTCACAAATTCTACATTCCCAGGGAAAACTACACTTGGTCATGGTGCATTGTTATTTTTAATTTTTTTTATATTATCATACTCAGCTTGCTTATGTTTTAGTTTTTTTCATCTGTGTTAATGAGATGGACTGGCCTGTAGTTTCTTTTCTTATAAAATCTTTGTCTAATTTTGGTATCAAAGTAATACGTGTTTCAAGATTTATTGGGAAGTGTTTCCTCCTCCCTTATTTTCTAAAAAAATTTGTGTAGAGATGATGTTATTTTTCCTTAAATGTGTAGTAAGATTCGTCCACCTGCATCTAGAGTTTCCTTTTAGTGGAAAGGATTCTAACTGTAAATTCCATTTCTTTCCCTGATATAAAGATATTTAGGTTATTTATTTCTTCTTGGATGATCTTTGGTAGTATGGATTCTGCAAGAATTTTGTCCATTTCATGTGGGTTGCTGAATATGTAGATATACAGCTATTGTAATAATTCCTTATTATCCTTTCAATGGATGTTAAGATCAAGACTGATGTTCTTTTTTAAATTTCCGTTCTCTGTTAAACAGAACATTTTCTGAGAGCAGAGACTTACTGTGTCTAGTTCATCTTTTTATCTCCTTGTGAATATCCTTCAGTCATTTTCATAAGGTAAACAGTGATTAGGAAGAGGAAGAAGAAAGGAAATAAGGGAGCAAAGGCGAGGAGGATGAAAGACAAGATGGATAGAGGGAGTATAGAAGAAGAATAACAAGCTAAAAGGTGGGGAGTTTAGCACATGCAAGGAAAAAGAAAAGTACAGTAGTATGGTCTGAGTGTCTTTTTGGGCAATTCAGTACATGAACCGATAGGCAGTTTTTCTTTTCTTCATATAGAACATTCCCTTTGCTCATTCTCCTTGGGGAGGTTGCTTTGGAACAAGATTCAAGAGTGAGTTAAAGGCCAAGCTAAGAGATGTCAACTTTGTCCTATAATTAATAGAGAATTTTAAAAAGTCTTTGAGCAAAGAGCAATGCAGGTGAAGTGGTGATTTTAAGACATGGTGGGACAATGGTGTTGAAGGCAAAATAATGGGAGCCTGGAAGCAGGAAGGCAATTTTTGGCATAGACTGGCTTCATCTTCCTCACACTTAGATGGCCCAGGTAACTGGTCTTTACCAATGGACAATGAACAGAGATGGCCATTTTTAGTCTGAAGAAATGAAGAACAGGTGTTTTCTCCACACTGTAGGTCTGAACTTCCTTCTGCCAGTTGGATGATGACAAGACAACCATGAAGCCACATATTGAAGATGAGGGTGCCACATAAGGAAGAAGCTAGAATACCTGAATCATTGCTTGGAGGAGAGCCACCCACCCTGAACACAGCCATGCTGGATTTTGTGTGAGTGAGAAACAAATGCTTATTTTGTCAAATAAAATTCATTTTACCTTGAGATTTAAGTGTTGCTCAATCCAGCCACTTGTATCACTATTTTTACTAGTAAAAGTCAGTGTAATATAGGGACAGTGTGCAGTGGTAAAGACATGAAATGGATTTTGGGTCAAAGGATTGAACAAAAGACCTAAATGGAAGAAGCATTGCAGAGGGAAGTGGCAGAAACGTCAAGATGACTTTAAGGGAGCCTGAAGACCTGAAAAATTGGACAATGAAAATAACAATGTTCAAAAAGAAAAAAGATTAGCCGATGGTGTGATGGTTACATTGCTTGACTCCCATGTAGTCGGCAGTGGTTTGAGTCTCAGACCTGACAGCTTAAAACTCATGCCAGGTGCATGTGCGTGAATGCCCAAAATCCCAAGAGGAGAAAGGAGGACAAGGGATTGTGGTGTGGCCATTCCCTCTGGGCCCCTGAAACCTCCAAAAGGGAGATGTTAAACTGATCAGGCTTATTCTTTATATGTTAGATAAAGATAGAAAACAGTGTCAAACTAAGTAATCCTAATTTTCTCAACATTGTATTTAAGTTATATGTAAAAACATGTTATATACTTGTATGTCTATGTATGTATTGTGTTCCAAAATAATTTGAGATTCCCAGGAATTTATGATGGAATATTTATCAGTCATGTGGTAAGTTATCATGTTAAACTGGTATCTAGCCAAATTTCTTTGTCAGTTATAAATTTTTGTCAGAGCATTAACTATGGTCATAATCCTTATGTCATGTCCTTAAGGAAATTCACAGAGAGAGTGGAAAGAGAATGTACTCTTACAAGTACTGGTTTCTAAAAATCTAATCATTTAACTGAGTAAATTTTTCATTTTCTATGTAAACTGATTGGTTTTTTAAACTGTTAAGTGAAAAATTAACCAAAAAAAGTAAAAAAATGTTTGACAAAATTACATGTTAAGTAACCAATGCAATACACCTGAGTTACAGAGGTATAATTGATATAAAGAAATATAAATCTAATGTTAAACATAGACTCATGGCCACCTGGTTCTGAGTCTTCCTTACAATTCTTGTTATTAACATGCTTTAGTTATTCCTATTGTTAGTCTTTAAATTTTATAAGATTAGAAGGGTCTGTTAGTAAGGTTGTTCAGTTTTGCACTGAAAAAGTCATTAAAACAAGTTTTGTTGTTATTGTTGTTCGTTTGTACATGTTCATAAGCTACCAGTCAATATATGTGGATATACGTAATTCTATTTTTACAAACTTAATGACTCCTCCAGAAAATATCAATCTTCCCAAGGTGGGATAGAACAGATAAACATGGACAATTAATAAAAATTGGGTCTAAGTATGAGAGACAAAAGCTAAAACTTCCTGTCTGAGAACTTAGGGTAGAAGTCTCAGGGAATGGGGTGAGACAAGTTAAGGCTAGAGCTCCTGGCTGCCTCCTCCCGCCCTGCCTGCTTGTACTTCTGTTTCTCTTTAGTTAGGCCTTTTCCCCACTGGACTCTCTCCTTAATTAAATGATCAAGAGGTGTAGCTAAAAAAAATAAAAATTTAGATTAAGACTATATTCTCCAGCTAGGGTTTTTATATAGTCAATAAGACAGATGCCATGTAAAACCTGTAAACTGGGCCCCGCCCTCTTGACAGTACTCAGCTGCTCCTTGTAGGATCTATTGGAATTTTGTTTCACTTCTCAGTATAAATGCTCTTACAATTCAGAATAGATTTTTTTTTTTTTGAAAAAAGTTCTCAGATAACTCAAAAAAAATGTTTTAACAAATTGGCAAGGTGCCTTGGCCTTTGATTTAACTTTCACTTAAATGACACCCAGCAGTCACTTGTGGTAATCCTGAAGGCTGGGAACTTCTTTGAGGGCAGGATCTGGACACAGCCCAGATCAGAGCCTCTGCCTCAAAAGAAACTCTGTTTCCAAAGTGGGAAGCCCAGGCATTAAATAATGGCCATGACTGGGATCCTCATGTTCCCCATTGGGACCTTGTCCCCAACTGTAGGGCTTGTCACTAGAGACAGAATGCTCCTCTGAAAGGAGCTCAGGACTTCTAAAGTCTGAGGATTGATAGGGCCCAAGACCCCTACGGCTCCCCATGGACAACTGACAATCTCTCTGCACAAGCCTCAGGTAACCCTTAAAATGACTAAGATTAATTTCTGTCTAAATCAGAAGTTAAGGATATTTATTTATTTATTTATTTATTTATTTATTTATTTTTGAGAGTTTTTTTCTATAGGGTGTGTGTGCTCACCAGAAAGACAGAGACAGAGAAACAGAAAGCAAGAAATCACACCCCCAGGGGGGATGGCCACGCTGCAATCCCTTCTCCTCTATTCTCCTCTCAGGATCTTGAGCACACATGCACACATGCCCTGTGTGAGTTTAAGCTACCGGGTCTGAGACTTGAACCATGGTTGACTACATGGGAGTCCAGCGAAATAGCCATTATGCCAACCGCTGGTCCTAGGTTAAGGTTATTTTTAAAAGTACAGTCACAGCGACAACTAAAAGTTCTTATAGCTGTCCCAGACTCTGTCCTCCCATCCTTGCCCTTCTACACTCAGGAGGAAAAAAAACTGGCCAAAAATAGTTGTCATTACCAAATGACAGGCCAATAGTCCCCGAGGCCCTTGAGCGGGTCATCATAGAACAAGTATTCAGGCTGCCTCTCTACAACTAAAGGAGGAGTCCCGAAGTGAACCAGAAACTGTACCTCTTGCCCACAGAGATGACCCTTTCAGTCCTCCCCATACTTGATCTGGATCTACTTATGGGCCAGAACCTAAGGACTCCTCCATGGGCAAGAAACCAGCTGAGGGGGACAGCAAGTCCCAAGGGGCCTCAGCCCCCTTGCCAGTTTTTCCCCTCAAGCAATGGGACCCTCTGAACTAGGTCCAGGTGGTCAGCCCCTTATGGTTTATTCCCCTTTCTCTACGAGTGACCCTTAAACTGGAAAAACCAGAATCCCTTCTTTTCTCAAAACCCTCAAGGTTTAATTAATCTCTCTCCTCTAGACTATTTTCTTCACCTATCTGCCTACCTGGGACGACTGCCAGCAGCTCCTCCGGACTCTCTTTACCACTAAGAATCTGTGGGAAAGGCCATAAACTTGTCCTGGATGCCAACGGCCAGCTCGCTGCTGACCCTGTCGCCATCAAGTGGACTTTTCCAACTGGTCGATCTACTTGGGCTCCAAATCTGGACAGATTCTCTGCAGGCCTTCCAGGCGACTCTCGCTGAGACCTACTGCCTCGTCTGCAGCCACCGCTCAGCTCCTGCCGAGTCTGCATTGTCCTCATAGCCAGCCCTGGACCCTGGGGCCCCACTTTTGGTCAGACACCACACTCCTGGGGCCCTAGACCCCTGCTGGGACAGACCTTTCACTGCTATCCTGAGCACCCCTTCTGCTGTCAAGGTTATGGAGAAGTGTCATTCGATTCATCACTCCCACTTGAAGCCCACTGCCCGGCTGCCTGATGTGGCCTCGGGGACCCAGAGATGGGGACTTCAGCCTTCCTCAGATCCCCTCAAGGTCAAATCGTGCAGGCTTTCCTGATACTTCTCCTCCTTCCCCCTGCCCTCTTCTCGCCATATAACCTTCCCTTTTATACCTGGACCCTCTCTCTCGACTGTGTCTCGACCACTGGTGCCTGCTCCTCTGCTGGTACTTGAAAGCCCCTTGAGGTTCAACATCACTGGGCTGGCACCTGGGAGGGTAGCCATTCTTAAGGCCTTTGCCTTTATATCTGGGGCAAGGACCCGGCATTCTTTTCACCATTCAGAAGCACCTTGTCTCTTGTACCCTTCTCCGCTCCCCCGCCCCCCAGCACCTCCGCCCCGCCAGCTAATCCTGTCGGGCCTCTACAGCCTGTTCTTGTGGGCCTGGGCCTCAATTCTATACCAACCACTCTGGGGTCGTTAGGGACAGCCTGGGCCAGCTTCGCAAACGTCTCCTAGAGTGTGAGGAGCACCGCTCCTCTGAGGGTAACTGGTATCAGTCTCTCTTCTCTTGGTCTCCCTGGCTCACCACCCTCATCTCTGCCGTTGTGGGTTCTGCCCTGCTTCTTCTCCTTGCCCTTCTCTTTGGCCCTTGCCTCCTCCATCTTCTCAATAATTTTGTTCAGGACCAGATCCAATCTGTCAAGCTCATGGTTCTCCACTCCTGCTATGAGCCGCTTCCCTTCTCCGAATCAATGATTTGATTCTTCAAATCAGAAGGGGGGAATGTAGAAGGTTGCAATATTAGATCTTGCACATGAACAACTGTTTGTCCATTTTGTTCCCTTACCCTAACATGGCTGTCTGCTTCCGTAAACCTGCTTTCTCTTCCCATGAGAAAATAGCTTGTGCTAGCCATACAGAAAACCGCATCCGGTACAATATCCTGTACCTGCTACTGTCTTTGCTAACTAGCCAGTAACCCTTTTGTTTAGCAGTGTAACTGCTTACATGGAAACCCCACTCCCCTCAGAAATAATTAACCTGCTTGATTCAGCTTCTGTAACTGCTTGCATAGAAACCCCTGCTAACTGACCGCCTTTAAAAAGACTACTCAAACTTCAGTTGGGGCTACAGTTCTGACTCTTGGCCCCCCAGCCTCAGGCTGTAGTCACTGGCCAGCTAATAAAGACTCCCTTTAAACTTAATCTGGCTTTGGTGGTTGTTCATTCAGTGGTACTCTACAACAGTACTACAAAACCATAATCCTTTCTCCTGTAATCTCAGAAATATTTAATAGATCTGCACATTTTAAATCCACCCCAGCTCAACACCTGGGTAGGGAAATTTCAGTGAATGAGGTAACCCCAAATTGCCCAAAGTATCTGCTTGCTTAAGCCTCCCCCCTTTTAAACTTAGGAAATAATTTCAGCTGCAGATGAAGAACAATATCCATGTTAAGTTCTTTGCTTACTGTGATAATTCTCAATATTTCACAATTTTGCAATTAACAGATGTTGGTTTTATTTCCCTACCTTCTGAGTTCATGATCCCATCCTACCAGTGTAACCATTTAGAATTGTGACATTATAAAATTACACAAATTAAACTTTATTCTGCTTCTTTTTCAAAATCTGAGGATTTGTCAACACCTCACAAAATAACTAGAGATACATAACTCTTGGTTTCAAAGGAATCTGGGGCTAGCTTTAATGCAAAATTTGTTTAACCCTGATAATTGGGCAGAGTGCTTTCTCAGCCTTCTTCCTCATGAATCTATGGATATCAGCAACAATTCTGAAGGGAAGGAAAAATAAAGGTATAAGCCTATTCACTTTCAAAGTCTATTCACTTCCCAACCCTGCCCTTGCCTCCATTCCTTAAATGAAGGAATTTAAGTGACCAGCAGATGGCGTAATGGTTGGTTATTGTACTCCCACGTAGTCAACCGTGGTTAGAGTTCTGGACCTGGTGACTTAAAACTCGTGCTGGGTGCTTGTGCATGTGTGTCCATAATCCAGAGAGGAGAATGGAGGAAAAGGGATTGCAGTGTGGTCATCCTCCCTGGGGTGAGATTTCTCTCCAGCAAGCGCACAAATAACAAAAATCTCTCTTAAAAAAAAAATTCAATAAGCAGAACAGCGATACAAAACTATTGAGAGTGGGCCAAACTTGGGTCTTGAGGAAGGACTTTACCTTCCTAAATCTCACATGTATGGGCTTGGAGAAATTATTTTTTCTTCCCTTTAGAGTTGGTGCCAATTTCCATAGATATACAGGGAGTAGGGCTGAGAAAGGACTTTGCCTCCATTATTAACCAAAATTGTAGGAGAAAAAATTTTCTTTACCAAAAAAAATTAACCAAAATTTTTATAAGAAAAGAGTGGGGGGCCCAACTCAGGTTTTAAGAAAGGACTTTACCTTTAGGAGGAGATATTTTATATGCACATAAAATATATATGAATATATTTTATATATAAAAATATATGAATATATTATATATATTTTATGTGCATATAAAATATATGTGTACATTAAGGATCCTAAAATATTTTTAAAGGGTGGAAATTGAAATCTTAAGTAGAGTACAGAAAAGATAAGCAGGGAATATTTACAGAGTGACTAAGTGGTGAACTTTCATTACTGACTAATGAACCTTATTGATATTAGATTTCTGGTTGGGTCTCAATCCTGATAAAAGAGTTTGCTGGGGTGTGTCAGAGATAAGGACACAGTCTTTTCTGAAGTGATCATTTGGAAAAGAGATTTCCACACCTTAAAGCCAATATAAAGCATAGAAACTTCACTGGGCATCGTCACTTGCTCCAACATCTCTGAAGGCAAAATGAAAATCCTTGTGAGTATTTGTTTATCCTTTTTGATACTCGTGTGGGGCATCTGGTGATGCAGAGAATATTCATGTCTAATATACCATGGATTTCGGGGGTTTAGACAAGCACTGTGCATGTGTCTAAGCTTCTGTGATTGAAGTAGTGATGTCTTTGGCAGGAACAGTGTTGAATAGTAAGTCGAATATTTATTTTTCTTTTGCCTATTTTTTGAGATGTCTAATAAAAAGTACAAAGAAAAAAGTCTGGGGAATATCTAGAGAATTTTCATCTGGAGGATGTTTAATAATTTCTTATTACCAATTTTGTAGGGAATGTAGACATTATAGAGTAATTGCATTTACTATCTGAAAGAGAAGTGGTAATTTAAAAAGTAATATAGTAATACCATATCATTTTCCAAATGCAAACTGACCCTTAGGATAAGCATTTCACAGGAATAATTTCATCTATTGGTAGCCACAATCCAATTGCTGAGTAATATTATCCTCATTTTACAGATGTGGAGAACAGTACAGAGAAATGTCATTTTCCCTAATCCACACCTGTGGGATTTGGGATGCAATTTATTCATCATATAGGAACAGTTGTGGCAAAATTTTAGCAGCTACATGTCTTCAGCAGTGACTCATCATATTTAAATTCTCCCTTAAGGCAAAGTGTCCTTACTGTGACTACTTCCACTCTTCCATCTGATTCCAACCTCCGCAGTTCACATTGCAAGACTCTGCGAGCAGTGGACTGTTTTGATCTGGATGGGCCTCTTTTCCTGATCTCTGTTCCTTAATCTCGCACAGCTGTTGAGAGAGAAAGCAAAATGCCAAGGACTTCCCTATAAGGTGTAAAAAGCTGTCAATTGAAATTACTCCCTTTCTCAGAGATCTCCTGATTTTCCAAGAGAAGACTTCGCCCTGAATCACAAACTTTTAACTGTAGTGTATGGATCACAGTGTTGAACGGGAGGTTATAGGAGTTGGTTATATTCCTTGAGTTCTTCTAATCATACCACAGGATATTTAGTCCTGGAACCAGTCAGTGGCATGTTGGTTAAGGTGACCAGATCCCACATGGCCTACTGTACAGTTGGAGTGTGGACCTAGAGGCTTAAAAAACATTCCAGGAGTGTGGGTGTGCATGTCCAAAATCTTGAGAGGAAATGAAAAAGAAGGGATGTAGTGTGGCTGTCACCCTCTGGAAAGGTGCTTTCTCACTTTCTTTATCTCTCCTCTCTCTCTCTCTCACACATACACACACACACACACACACACTCACACACTCACACACTCACACACACACATGCCTTATAGCAAAGAAAAAAAAAAAAGATGATTATTTGGGACCAGTAGATAGTGTAATGGTTATGTTGCTGGACTCTCATATAATCAACTGTGGTTTGAGTCCCAGACCCGGTGGCGTAAAACTCAGGCTGGGCATGTGTGCATGCGTGCATGCGTGTCCAAGATCCAGAGTGGAGAATGGAGGAGAAGGGATTGTGATGTGGCCATCCTCTGTGGGGAGTGATTTCTCGCTTTCTATCTTTAACAAGCACATGTACCCTATAGAAAAAATGTCTTTAAAAAAAAAAAAAAGATAGCCATTCATCTAGTGACTAAGTGGTGAACTTTCATTACTGACTAATGAACCTTATTGATATTAGATTTCTGGTTGGGTCTCAATCCTGATAAAAGAGTTTGCTGGGGTGTGTCAGAGATAAGGACACAGTCTTTTCTGAAGTGATCATTTGGAAAAGAGATTTCCACACCTTAAAGCCAATATAAAGCATAGAAACTTCACTGGGCATCGTCACTTGCTCCAACATCTCTGAAGGCAAAATGAAAATCCTTGTGAGTATTTGTTTATCCTTTTTGATACTCGTGTGGGGCATCTGGTGATGCAGAGAATATTCATGTCTAATATACCATGGATTTCGGGGGTTTAGACAAGCACTGTGCATGTGTCTAAGCTTCTGTGATTGAAGTAGTGATGTCTTTGGCAGGAACAGTGTTGAATAGTAAGTCGAATATTTATTTTTCTTTTGCCTATTTTTTGAGATGTCTAATAAAAAGTACAAAGAAAAAAGTCTGGGGAATATCTAGAGAATTTTCATCTGGAGGATGTTTAATAATTTCTTATTACCAATTTTGTAGGGAATGTAGACATTATAGAGTAATTGCATTTACTATCTGAAAGAGAAGTGGTAATTTAAAAAGTAATATAGTAATACCATATCATTTTCCAAATGCAAACTGACCCTTAGGATAAGCATTTCACAGGAATAATTTCATCTATTGGTAGCCACAATCCAATTGCTGAGTAATATTATCCTCATTTTACAGATGTGGAGAACAGTACAGAGAAATGTCATTTTCCCTAATCCACACCTGTGGGATTTGGGATGCAATTTATTCATCATATAGGAACAGTTGTGGCAAAATTTTAGCAGCTACATGTCTTCAGCAGTGACTCATCATATTTAAATTCTCCCTTAAGGCAAAGTGTCCTTACTGTGACTACTTCCACTCTTCCATCTGATTCCAACCTCCGCAGTTCACATTGCAAGACTCTGCGAGCAGTGGACTGTTTTGATCTGGATGGGCCTCTTTTCCTGATCTCTGTTCCTTAATCTCGCACAGCTGTTGAGAGAGAAAGCAAAATGCCAAGGACTTCCCTATAAGGTGTAAAAAGCTGTCAATTGAAATTACTCCCTTTCTCAGAGATCTCCTGATTTTCCAAGAGAAGACTTCGCCCTGAATCACAAACTTTTAACTGTAGTGTATGGATCACAGTGTTGAACGGGAGGTTATAGGAGTTGGTTATATTCCTTGAGTTCTTCTAATCATACCACAGGATATTTAGTCCTGGAACCAGTCAGTGGCATGTTGGTTAAGGTGACCAGATCCCACATGGCCTACTGTACAGTTGGAGTGTGGACCTAGAGGCTTAAAAAACATTCCAGGAGTGTGGGTGTGCATGTCCAAAATCTTGAGAGGAAATGAAAAAGAAGGGATGTAGTGTGGCTGTCACCCTCTGGAAAGGTGCTTTCTCACTTTCTTTATCTCTCCTCTCTCTCTCTCTCTCACACATACACACACACACACACACACTCACACACTCACACACTCACACACACACATGCCTTATAGCAAAGAAAAAAAAAAAAGATGATTATTTGGGACCAGTAGATAGTGTAATGGTTATGTTGCTGGACTCTCATATAATCAACTGTGGTTTGAGTCCCAGACCCGGTGGCGTAAAACTCAGGCTGGGCATGTGTGCATGCGTGCATGCGTGTCCAAGATCCAGAGTGGAGAATGGAGGAGAAGGGATTGTGATGTGGCCATCCTCTGTGGGGAGTGATTTCTCGCTTTCTATCTTTAACAAGCACATGTACCCTATAGAAAAAATGTCTTTAAAAAAAAAAAAAAGATAGCCATTCATCTATTTGCTTGTTCAAGCCTCCATTCTAGCCCCGTTAAATAGAATGTATGGGGCCACCAGAAGTGATTAGAGCCAGCCTGGGTAAGAGAAGATGTGTCCCAGCTCAGCCATAGTAGCAGGCTGATCAACGCCATAGTAACATGCTCATCAACGCTGCTGCTCAATAGGCTTGACTATGTGGGAAGCCGGGGTTCAATCCCTGTTTCAGTCTGAAAGCCAGGCTATAAATAGTAGCACACAGCTACACATATTCCCAGCTACTTGGGAAGCTGAGGCAGGAGGATTGTGAGTTGTGACAAAGCAACACCCTATCTAACACACACACACACACACACACACACACACACACAGAAGTTGTGTCCTTATGCAAGTAGGCAGGATGAATATCTATATCCAGGTCTTTGTCTGTTGCCCCACCCTCCAGTCAACAGAAGAGAAATGTTAGGGGGAGGGATGGAAAGGGAATTAGAAAAGTCCCACTGGAAGAAAAAAAAAATATATATATACATATATATGTGTATATATATACACACACATATATATACATACACACACATTCACACACACTTACACACATATGCATATATGGAGAAAGAGAGAGAGTTTTTTTTTTTTTTTGAATCTGCTTCCTGCTCTCCCCTCATCCACAGTTCTCAGTGAGAGTGGAAATCATGCCCAGAAGAAAGGGAACAGAGTTGGTATCAGCAAGTTGAATAGATTCACAACTAGAGCAGAATATCAGAACTCCCTCAGTGCCAGTCCCCCAACCTGCTGGCCCTGCGCCTGCCTGATAGTGTCACTAGGACATGGGTTGTAGGACAAGAGCAGAATATCAGAACTCCCTCAGTGCCAGTCCCCCAGCCTGCTGGCCCTGCACTCACCTGATAGTGTCACTAGGACATGGGTCATAGGAGAACGTGGAGATTTTCCATTATGTCGGACTCAAAAGTTAATCAAGCTCCTAAGCATCCTACTTTCATGGTTTCCCTTAGAAGCTCATTGTGTCTTTACCACCCAGGAACCCACTTTAAATCTCTTTCATTCTCTCAGTCACAGTATTGAAGTTTTTTCTTTTTTCTTGTTTTTGAGACAGGAAACACAACTTGAACACCATAGTCCAAAGTCAGTGTGATCATAGCAAGGGATTCCCCCGGTAAAACACATTGTTATCCTCACTGTTCGCCTACCTCATTTCTTCTATAAACTGAATGGATATAATATTGAAAAGAGCTGAGAACTGGGTGGCAAAGGTAAAACCCTGTACCTGACAAGTAGCAGGAATTCAACAAATTCCCATCAAATGAGTGAGCGAATGTGTGTTTCACAGATTGGAAATGGACTGGTGACCGTCCATGAGCACTCACTGGTGTTTATAGGTATACATTTTCCGAGATATTTGTGCTTTTCCTGTCCTGCCCCTATTCTCAGTGACTACCCCACAGGGAATGGATGTGACCGGTCTGTTTTTCAGGTGGCATTTCTGGTGGTGCTGGCACTCTTTGGGATACAATCTCATGGATATGAGGTGAGTCTACTTTTATGACATTTAATTCTTAACTATTGGGAGAGGAGAGGGAAGATACTAGATAATTTCAAGTACAGATGAGAATCCATATGCCTTATTTGGGATGGAATTCCAGAAGTAAACAATAATGAAATAAAAGAGGCTAGTGATTTCTCTCTAGCCCCAATGCCTTTATAAATATAGTCCATTGCTTTAAAATGCAGTCAGTCTCAGCTTTCCTGTGAAGTCACTGCTTCTCTCATACATAATAGTGTAAACTATGAGGAAAACATGGGCTTTGGGACTAAAGTCTCAGTGGAGAGGTTTTAGCCCTAAATTCCTTGTTTATAGCAGGCAGAAGGCTTTATTTTGCAGGAAGAGTTGCCTTTAAAAAGAATATGCTTTATTGAAAAGTCATTATATCTTTGTTGTCAATCTAGGTTTACAACACCATCAGTCCAAGTAAAAATGGCGGCAATGTTCAGGAGACAATAACAATTGACAATGAAAAAAACATCGCCATCGTTAACATCCACGCGGGATCATGCTCTTCTACCACAATTTTTGATTATAAACATGTAAGCAACAAAGGAACTTTTATGCTCTTCAAGACTTGATTGTCTTAAGGGTAAAGGGACAGCCTTTGATTATATATTCAAATTCTGAAATCTATCTTTGCTATTCTTTAAGAATTTCCTCACTTTGGTTTTTCCCTTTATATCATCCAAAAAAATTTTTTTTAAATAGAAAAAGAAAACAAATGACACAATTAATAAGAAAAATATGTCAGGAAACACGTATTTCCTAGACCTTTCAGGTGGAAATTGAATGAATGATGATACTGTCCCCTTGAAGGCACAGAAAGTGATTAGAAGAGTGACAAAAGCCCAAAGCAGTGTAACGTATTCAGATTCTCGAAAGTATTTGCTCAATGAATAAATGAACGAATTCATACTTCCAATGGAAAACATCATGCAGAAAAAGAATCCTAAAACAATCATAATAGCAGGTATCTAGAACAGCTACACATTTAATTGTATACATAGCATAGGTAATAAACCATACATCTGTAAGAAGGAAAATATGTTAACTAAAAACTACACTATTACCAAGTTTTAGATGTTGGTATTAATGATAGTCTCAGAAACCTATTCAAAAAAGCTTATTCTGTCCTTCCTCCACTCACTCGTTTTCCATTTGTTCCATAAACAATTGCAAATTTGCTTTCACCATGATTCAGAGCCACAAGCTGTCCTTATCTCACTGCATCTTGAACTGTGTAGTTTTCCTTTCCCTTTTCTTTCAGAAACCTCTTGGAATGCCTCTCCCCACCCCTTGGTGGTGGGAGTTCTGAAACACATTTGGAAGTATAGAGTCTTTGAAACACAGGAGTTGAAAAAGAAGTGATATTGAAATTGTTTTTAAGCAGACATCATGAAAATCCTAAAAGTGTCTTTATACAAAGTAGAGTGGTGAGGATTTCTTTTAAGCCTCCTCCACTGCTGTCGAGTTCAGCCTCGGTCTATTTTTGAATTACAGGAACTATCAATTTGTGAAAAATTGAAAAATAGGAACTAGTTGGGTTTCTATTAGCTATGACCTTATAGGGTGTGTAGTTATTTGAAACTCTCTAGAAAGAATTTCCACTCTGTATGTCCATTGCTCTTCCAAACACAGCATCCTCCAACTTATCCTTATTCAGGCAGCTTCGATTTGAGTTAGAGAAAGATGGAGAAAACTAGAGAAAGAGAGAAGGTGGAAAGGAGGGAAGACTAGATGAAAAGTACGTGTGTAGGATGAGGATGAGTATGGGTGTGCTTGGGAGAGTTTCTACAGCAGCTACGTCAGGCTATTCTGCAATGTTTTGTGCCTTGTCTAATTAGGAAGCTCCTAATCACTTGTGGCTATTGAGTACTTGAAGGATGTAATGGAGGAAGGACATTTAAGAGTTTAGGTTATTTGGACTGGCCCCGTAGTGCAGTGGTTAAGTATTGTGCATTGGAAGCCGGATCCACATGGTAAACTGTAGTTGGAACTTTGGACCTCGCAGCTAAAAAAACACACTGAATGTCTGTGTGTGTGTGTGTGTGTGTGTGTGTGTGTGCATGCACGCACGTGCGTGTGTGTAACCCAAATTCTGATGAGATGGAGGAATGGAGGAGAAAAGATTGCAGAGTGACCATGCCCCATTAGGGTTGGAGGACGGGGAGTGCTTTCTCTTTTTCTTTCTCTCTCCCACTCAAACATGAGTGTGCCCTCGAGTGATTTTTTTTTCTTTTTACCTAATTTGAACTTAAATTTAAATAGCTACATGTGGCTAGTAACTATCATATTGGGCATCAAAATTCTAAAGAATATTGTATTTACTCCAAACCAGGGAAGAGGCAAAATAAAATCAATGGAAAGAGACTGAAAATTGCTTCTTCTCAATCTTTTAAACACCAGAGTATAAACCCTGGTTCCATAAAATGAAAAGAGAATTACATGTCACCAGTTTGCATGATTTCAAATGTGGAGTAATGACAAATGAAAAATTAAAGATTCTACGTAAAAAATTTGAGTAGATATGGCTGATTGAAAAACAATGTCATGCATTCACCATGCCTGCTTGAGTCTCTCCTCCAAGGTCAGTTATCAGCTTCACCAATTCAGTATTCAGGGAACTGGGGATGGGCAGTAACTGTACTCTTGATGTCTCAGAGTTACATCGCCTCCAGAGTGTTCTCCCGAAGGGCCTGCTACATCCTGAAGATGGACCATCGAGCCATCCCTGCTCTGGACCAACTCCAACGTTACATCTACGAGCGCAAGGTAATTCCAGGAGCCTTTGAATATTCTCTGTTCTTAAGCCAGGAGATGCTGGTGCATATGTAAAAATAGGAGAATGACAAAGCGGATCATAATATTACACCTTACCATGGATTTGGTACTTAACTTATGAAAATGTTTCCTTCCTTATTTATTTAGAGCAGTAGTATATCCCAGCTTGATTTCCACCACATGGCTTTAAATACAAGGACTTACTGTCTAGTGTCTTCATAGAAAGGACTGAACAGCCCTTTCTCTTAGATCAAGACTCTAGGAAATAGTGATTGACAGAAAAATGAGGGAAGCTGTAATAGTCAATGATACAAAGATGAAAAGAAACAATACAATGCAGTGAGAATATGCAAACACTGCACTGAAGTTGGAGACCTAGGATTTAAGACTCTTTTCATGGTTTTCCATCTGTACCATCGTAGGCTAAAATGTACCTTTTCTGACTTTCATTGCTACTGGCAGTAAAACAACACTGGTAGTGCTGAAATGTCTCTACTTTCCATCTCTACAGATGGAAAGTCAGAAAGAGATGATGTGTTGAGGTCCCTGACCACCTTCTGTCAATCATCTGAAAAAGAAAAACAGTTAGTTTAGAATAAGGTACATTGGATATGTCCACTTATTTTGTCTGTCCCCTGCTCTCCAGGCTCTGAATAGCATGTTTTCCCCAAAATACACCTGGGTCAAGTACAACCCCCTGGAGTCTCTGATCAAACACATGGACTGGTTCCTGTTTGGTTCACCCATTAAACAACTCTGTGAACATGTCCCCTTGTATAAGGGAGAAGTGGTTGAAAAAGAATGTGAGTACCGATCAATCATCCATCTATTCATGAAATATTTTCTGAAAGCTACTCTGTGCCAGACACTCTACTAGGTGCTGTGTGAAATATAAATGAATGGAAACACGACTCAAATAAATACCTACCTAGTGGGTACATTATGTTAGAGGTTAGGGATACAGAAATGGGCAGAATTCTGCCTCTGAAATACCCAAAGTCAAGTGGAGTGGTTGACAAATAAACACAGAGTCTAGAGTGAATAAAGGACTCCTGGGTGCCAGGAAAAAAAATATTGGATTCTTTTATTTCATCACATGTAACAATTTCAAGCAGGGAAAGTCTTCTGGGCTCATAGAACAGTGTCTTTTGGAGATGGTGAGAAGGACGGCACTAAGGAATGTTCTCAGAGGTTAGAAAGGATTGGTCTAGGAAAGAGCAGGCATAGCATAGTGACAGGAAATAGAAGCCCCTCTTCATTGCGATAGCAGAGAGAGGGACAGAGAGACCCAGCATGAGGGAGAAAGCACTCCCCACCCGGCATGTCACAGAGCAATCCCTTCTCCATCTCCTTCCTTCTGGGATTTTGGGCATGTATGCACATACATCCAGAGTGTTTCTCAAGCTACCTGGTTTGGGACTCAGATAGTAAACTCAGCCATGTGGGATCCTGCGTTCTAATCACCAAGTTACAGGCTGGCACCATTTCTGGCATTTTTACACAAAGTTTCTAACTGTTATAGAGTAGCTAGAAGAAAAGAGGAAAGGGCCAAGAGATAATAAATAAAAACAAACTCTCCAGAGTAGTATAAGGTAGAAGAAAAACAATTGGAATTCACTACATCCTAATGCCCAGAAAGTAAAAGAAATACTTATTAGTACTTGTAAGCAAAGGTACAGCACTATGCCCTAAATGCAGAATGTCATAGTTTTAGCTGGAATTGAACCAAACAGCACTTTCAGGAATTGTCACTCTTATTTAAGCTAATATTTTATTATCCATTGCCGTGCAAGCTCAATCAGATCCTGTGGTGAAGACATTTATAAAAGGCATTGATTTATTGTATTCTAATAATATATTGTTAATACTCTGTCTTTTAAACGATTTTCTCTTTCCAGATACTGGTGCTGGAGGCTGTGCAAAGGTTGGGCTCCTCGGCATCCTGGGAATTTCCATCTGTGGAGACATTCACGTTTAGGATGATCAACCCACTGGTTACATTTTTCAAAGAAATACACTCCTGGATTCCATTTATAAGCCACATTAAATTCTTTCCCAATGCCCCAATTAATTTTGCAATTCAGTAGTAAAATATAAATGCTTTATTTACAAATATCTTGGTTTTTGCTTTTTTTGTAAGTAGTAAAAGGAAGCCAAGCAATGTTAATATCCATATAAAAGAAAATAAAAGACAGGATTTCAACTAAAGTACATCATGTGTGAAAATTCCTAGATATTATAGCTGAGCCACTTACAGATCAATAAATTGGATGTGAATCTCCATTTCTGCATCTGCTCACTAGACCAGCTGCCTGTATGACTTTCCCAGTGCACTGGCTCAGTCTGAGGGGAGTAGGGGCTCAGATAGTGGTGGTCTCAATATGATGAGGAGAAAAAACTTGGTATACTCTTATTAATAACTCACCTGCTCAGGGTGAAGGCAACTATCCCTTCTAACAAGTGTTGAAGCTTTGAAGACCATTCATATACATTTTAGGAAACGTTTTTTTACCTCACTGAAGCAGTAGTCTCAGCCTTAGTAAACATTATATGCTATGTCTTGTCCTAGGGTGAGGAGGGAGGAAGGAAAAACAATGTCCATATCTCAGCAAAAGATATACCCTACTGAGAACAAAAAAGGAGGGGGGGAGAACCTAACTAGAAATTCCAAGTCACTATTAAGAGGGAAAGCAATTTCCAAGATTTCAAGTAAATGAGCGTGAGTAACTTCCAGGTCATATAGCTGACTCTCAAGCGGACTAGAACTGGGTGCTTGAAGGTGGCAGACTTTTTCCACATCTTAACTATCCTTCTCTCTACACATTTGCTTTGGTAGCTTACGTGTTTTTTCTTTTTCTTTGAGAACTGAACCAACACTACTGCCAACTTGAGGAGTCTCATCTTCTTGACTTCATCACCAGAGAGGAAGAAACTCTCTCGGTTCTAACGTCAAATTAGATTTATTTTTAAAAACTCTGGAAATTATTCTTAGTGGCCTACATGAGGCACATTCTTATTCCTGTGGTCAGCATTGGCAGAAGTCGGAGGGTGGCAGCAATAAGAAATCTTATGAATTGTCAACCTCTTTCAGAGTCTATGCTTAGAGATGCATGTACTTTAATTTTTATATTATCATTCCCCACTTCTAAAACAAAATTTTGAGTTCTGCTTTTTCTTGTTTTTCTTATAATTAAAAATTTTTATATTATATTTAATCACATATATCTTTATGGAGTATAACATTTCTTTTAGTATTCTTATTTTTTTTCAACATTCGATCACTATACATCACTTGGCTTGTAAAGAGAATTTATCCAACATGAAGTACTTCTCAGACCAGTCCAGTTGAGAATACTACACATGTTATCATTAACAGGTAGTAAACCATTTCTGTGTCCCACAAATGTCATGCCTCTCTATTTTTTCTGCTGATATCCTTCTCTATATTCTTTCCTTCCCCACCCCTGTCCTCCATTCCACACTATTTTCAGTGTCCATAATTATTTTTGCTAATTTTATATCCTCTAATATTTCAATCTCTACCATAGAGTGTGGGTAGTAGGAATATATTAAGTGGATACATACAATATCTTTCTTTCATAGCCTGCTTGCTTCACTCAGCAATAAATCTTCCATATTTGACCACTTTTTATCAAATTCCAGGGTCTTTTTTTATGGCTGAATAATATTTCATAGAGTATATGTGCCACACATTTTCAATCCATTCAAGTTCTGCTTTTTCTTAAGTATGCTTGCTTTCTGCCAGTTAACCTGCTTTTCAAATGCTGTTGTCATGCTGAATCTGTTAGGAGCAGCAGATAGAACATCCTAAGCACATGACTGAAAAGAATATGTCCAAATGGAAGCACAAAAGAAGCTGGGGCTCTGTTATTTGTCTTCATAATTAGTCCCTCCTTAAGGGGTGAGAAAACTAAATATCAACTCTGAACTTACTGGATACTCAAACCATAGATCCTCTCTGGGTTACTCTGGGAGAAGGAGCAACCCTGAACTGAACAAAATAAAGCAACCAGGATGCTAGAAGAACTGGCTTGTCTACAGAAGATGGTCCATGAATACAAGCAGCCATGACCCAGGATACAAGTGTGCCAACAGAGGCTTCAGAGGGAGCTTGGTGAGGCTTATAGACAGGGTTCCATATCCTATAGTATTTCCCTCATGGTCATTTACTATGACATGTCACATAGACTTATTCATTCATCTGAAGTAGATATAAATACAATTTATTTACTCGGAGCTCCAAGGATTAGAATACATGGACCCAAATATTTTACTAGACAATGAGCGAATTGAGTGAGTTCAACTATTATTAGCTCAAGCATAATAAATACAAATTGGTGAACTGATAAAATAATGAGACTTCTAGCAATGGTAAGTAACTTACATCAAGTAACCCATTTGCCAACACAATTACAAACCTGGGCAAGATATGAAAAATAGTCATTTGAAGGCACTGGAATGACCCCAAACTGGCAGAAACTAAAAACAATATGATCTTGGGAAAACATGCTCACTCATCTATTACTTGTCTATTGAAAAAAAAAAAGCCAACTGATGTATTAATCTCAATTCTCCATCTCCCTATTTTCCTTAATCAGTTTAATTAGCAGTTAAAAAAACCTCTTAATTTTAGGAAAGATATTCCTTCAGTGCCCAAAGATTACTTATGATTGGTCTAAATCGGTAATTTTCTACTGAGGTATAATTCCCATGACTCAAAATACTTGATGATGTCTTAGTCCACTTTCTGTTGTTGTAATAGAGTACCTGAGACTGTATAATTTATAAAGAGGTTTATTTAGCTCACAGTTACTGAGACTGAGAAGTTCAAGACTGGGCAACCATATCTGTTGAGGGTTTCATTCTATGGTATCAGATGGCTGGAGCAGGAGGAAAGGAGACATAACATGAAGGAGGGGTGCCTTGCTTTTAACAACCCATGCTCCTGAGAACTAATACAGTATCAAGAGAAAAGCATTAATACATTTTAACAACCTAACCATGTCTTGCAGATCCCACCTCTCAATACCACCACAATGGAAGTCAAATTTCAACCTGAGTTTTGAGAGAAAAATTATACTCAACCACAGCAGTGAGGCTTAGTGACATTTTTGGCTGTCCCAAGTGGAGGGTAGAGACCAAATATTCTGCTAAATATCTTACAATGCACAGAAGAGATCCTTCAACAAAATATTTCCTGGCCCCAAAGTCAGTAGTGCCAAGGTTGGGAAAGCCTGGATTAAATCAGTGTTTTCGGCCCAGCCATGAAGTATGTACTGGTGAAATGCTGCTACTCTTCAGTCTGGGGTCACTGGGGAGGCCCAGGTTCAATGTTTGGCATACTGTCAAAAGTCAGGTATAGTGACACACACCTGTAGCACCAGCTACTTGTGAAACTGAGGTAGGAGGATAGCAGCACAGCAAGATCCTGTGTTTAGAAAACCAAACAAAGAAAAACTTGCTTCATTTAAAAAATAAGGTAACACCATTTTTCTAAGTCTGAATTTGGTCCATGGTGGCCAATGAGATGTTCTGGCCAATTAGATAGAAGTGGAAGACTGTTAAATGGAGCTTCCAGGAAAGACTGTTTTTCTTGCTGCAGAGGAACAAACTCATCTGGCTTGAATCTGTCTCTTGCCCTTTTTTATTGTCCTCTTTTAATGAGGATTTGATGATGAGGTCAGGAGATGTATCAGTCATTTGGGGACTATGAGGTAACAATCCCAGGAAAGAAGAGCCACAATGCCTGATTGCATTATTCTGGAGCTGCACCAGTCAGGACTGTAAATATCTTCTTCTGGGCTTACATGACACAGATTGATCTCTGTTTCGTCACACTGACTGGGTTCTCCCTATTTGCATTTGAAAGCATTCCTTACAGATACACCCGAAAGAGGGTCCAGTTTGTCCAATAAGTGCTTATTAGAACTGGACCACCCCTTTTCTTACCCCTGAAGCCCCTTTGGAAATTCCAGGCTCATTACGTTCCTACACAACTGCTGCAGAAACCTGATACTGTGGACTATGCATAGAATGGCTAGAGGTAAGTGTGGTTTACAGCCACTATCCAGCTCTGCTTGGCCCACTGTTCCTTCTGTTAGTCCAGACATCGTCCTCAGGGCTCCCTTAATTCCAAGCAAGTTGTCTGAGGTGGCCACCAGTCTGATGCTAAGAAGTCAGAATGAATTTAGGAACTGAATCATGTGTTTCTTAGGGTTTGGGGTCTAGGTCTACCCTACTTTAAGATAATTCCATTTCCTGGGACCAGCAGTTAGCATAATGGCTATGTCGCTGAACTCCCACGTAGTCGACCGCGGAACCAAACAAAGAAAAACTTGCTTCATTTAAAAAATAAGGTAACACCATTTTTCTAAGTCTGAATTTGGTCCATGGTGGCCAATGAGATGTTCTGGCCAATTAGATAGAAGTGGAAGACTGTTAAATGGAGCTTCCAGGAAAGACTGTTTTTCTTGCTGCAGAGGAACAAACTCATCTGGCTTGAATCTGTCTCTTGCCCTTTTTTATTGTCCTCTTTTAATGAGGATTTGATGATGAGGTCAGGAGATGTATCAGTCATTTGGGGACTATGAGGTAACAATCCCAGGAAAGAAGAGCCACAATGCCTGATTGCATTATTCTGGAGCTGCACCAGTCAGGACTGTAAATATCTTCTTCTGGGCTTACATGACACAGATTGATCTCTGTTTCGTCACACTGACTGGGTTCTCCCTATTTGCATTTGAAAGCATTCCTTACAGATACACCCGAAAGAGGGTCCAGTTTGTCCAATAAGTGCTTATTAGAACTGGACCACCCCTTTTCTTACCCCTGAAGCCCCTTTGGAAATTCCAGGCTCATTACGTTCCTACACAACTGCTGCAGAAACCTGATACTGTGGACTATGCATAGAATGGCTAGAGGTAAGTGTGGTTTACAGCCACTATCCAGCTCTGCTTGGCCCACTGTTCCTTCTGTTAGTCCAGACATCGTCCTCAGGGCTCCCTTAATTCCAAGCAAGTTGTCTGAGGTGGCCACCAGTCTGATGCTAAGAAGTCAGAATGAATTTAGGAACTGAATCATGTGTTTCTTAGGGTTTGGGGTCTAGGTCTACCCTACTTTAAGATAATTCCATTTCCTGGGACCAGCAGTTAGCATAATGGCTATGTCGCTGAACTCCCACGTAGTCGACCGCGGTTCAAGTCCCAGACCCGGTGGCTTAAAACTCACGCTGGGCGCGTGTGCGTGCGTGCTCAAGATCCTGAGAGAAGAATGGAGGAGAAGGGATTGCAGCATGGCCAGCCCCCCTGGGAGGTGATTTCTTGCTTTCTGTCTCTCTGTCTCTCTCTGTCTGGCGAGCGCAAGTGCCCTATAGCAAAAACCTCTAAAAAAAAAAAAAAGATAATTCCCTTTCCTCATCCTACTTTTAACCATTAAGAAAGGTTCTTTGGCTGCACCAGAAGTCCTTTTCCCACTCATGGTATAGCATATGACTTCAGGAAGGGACACCCCAAGAATTTAACTCTCACCACCTCTGACAATACAGCCTACCCTTCTGCCATTCCTTTGTTATACTCATAAGGGCATGGCCTCAGGTACACAAAGCCTGGCCAATGGCCAACCATCCAGTCCTCTTGTTAGTAACTGTTGGTAGCCTCACTTTCCCCCTGAATGATCCAAGCTATTCACCACCTTAGGGAGAATCCTGACATATGATCCTGCCCCTTTCAGTCTGAAGTTGACTCCCACCCTAAGGGACCTGCCAGGGTGTATTGGATTTCTGCTGAGAGAGTCTTAGCATATTTCACTACTGCCCTTCTCCTCTCCCTTGGGGCAGGGATAGAGGTTGGGCAATACCTAGGAGTGGAATAAAGGAACTTCCTGGGTTGTAGAGAAAGTTCTGCATCCCCTCTGTGTGATGGCTACATGGATGTATGATGTGAAAATATAATGAGCCTAATGAGCTGTGTACAGAAATTCTCATCTGTGGTTTATTGTATGTCTTACTTCACTAAAATGTTAATGCATTGTAATAATATAAAATACAACTGAATACAAAGGAGGCCCACCTAGTTCACAACAGTCTTAGGAGACACTGAAGTTGGCCCTTGCAGTGGCCCACAGCAGCCCTGAAAGGCTCCTGCTCTAGCTGCATGATGCCTGGGATTAGGCCAGAGGACATGGCACTGTGATCCTTCTTAGGGGCTGAGGGGAGTGTGGGCCATGGTCAGCTCCAGCTCTGCTGACTGTGGACAGCTGGGCTACTGTCAGTGAGAAAACATCACACAGACTGATGTGGACCTAGTCAGTAACTGCTGAGACAGAGGGTAAGCTATAGGGATAGGTGCACCACCCAGGCAGGAAGCAGGACTAGGACAAGCAACTTAATCCGGGGAGGGCAAGGGACACTGCCTCTGATCCTCTGGGAAATGAAGAGCATGGGGTAGGCAAGAACCAGAGAAGGAACACTGAGTTGCTGCCTCCTGGCTTACCAGCCTGCCCACACCCACACGGGTGAGCTTGGGGCCAGTATTTGTCCCTGAGGCTGCAGAGTGGATGTGAGAGTTAGGAGTGCCACTGTCTAGGGTGGTAGGGGCCAGTGAAGGGAAAGACATCTTACTCCAGGAAGCCTGTCAATTGAGAGTTACACTTTAAGACTGGAAAATCTCATCCCTGTCTTGGTAATCTATCTCTGAGAAAAGATCCTTGGTCAGGGATGGATTTTTTCAGGAAATCTCAGAGATTTACTGGAGGGAGAGTTATGGACTGTTCCCAGTTGCAATTTAGATACTACATAGGGCCTTCTGGAAGCCTTCAAGTGTGTGTTTGCAGAGGGTCCAAGGATTCTGCTAGGGGAGATTTCATGCTCAACAAAGAGAGAGCTGGGTCACTTCCTAATGCAGCAAGAGATTCTGGGCAGGGTCACTCCAGCCACACTGTGATATCTTATGCTCAGATTTGTTTCCAGGCCAGTCCCCAGTGGACCTGTGCTCAAAACCCCAAGGTGGTAGGAGGGGACCATGAGTAAAAACAACTGAAGTCACAGAACAGAAAAGCCCTTTTTCACTAGTTTCTCTAAGAAACTAGGGCATATGTGAATAATTGTGATGCCAAAGAGAGGTGTGTCATTTTGTGTTGGGTGTAGAGGGTCTGTGCTCTTCTGGACTCTTAGGCTTCCCAGAACAGCAGCAAAAATCAGTGTCTTCCCCACACACAGTACTCAGTGGAAGGGCAGCAGTAATGGAGATGGGTCAGTCAAAGGCTCTGGGGGCTTTGGGTGCCCGATCCCTTCTCCCAGCTCTGCAAGGCAGCATTGGAGATGGCCTATGTCGATGATAGGGGCTGCCCCAAGAGAGAGAGAAAAGAGGGAAATGAAAGATTTCTCTACTTGAAAGATTGCTGGCCTAATTCTTGGGTCGCTTTTGTGTACTCCCAATGAGATTAGAGAATTATTAACAATAGTTGGACTTAACAAGAAGCTCATATTCTTTGACCATAAACAGAAGACATCTGTTACTTATGTTTCTGTGATCTGATTTTAAACAGAAGGCTAGTGGTCTTGATAAACATGTATGTGTAGGTCAAGGCAGTGGTTTGAGATTAAAATATGGTTAATTTCATTGAGTACTGGATTAGAGTATCTCTAAAGATAAACATCAACAATGCTCATGAGTACGGTGGTAATATGTTGATTTTAAAAAGTTAATATATTTATTTATATCATGAGCTAGAGAGACAGAGACAGAGAGAGAGAGAAATATAGAGAGCATCCCAACAAGGTCCTTATGCTGCAATCTACTCCCAGCCTTTAGCCAGTCCTGGATCTTGGGCAAATATATTCCTACTGTTCTCAGGGAGGTCTCTAGACTTGAATTGGGAACTTTCTCATGTGCAGTTGCCTTGCAGAATATTATACTTTACTGCTGCACCACCATTTGGATCCTTGAATGATTTTTTTTTTCCCTTGTCAGCCTAACTCCCTAAGGACTGAAATCCTGGTCCATGCATCAGGGTTCTTTATAAGAACCTGTATTCTCTAAGGTCTAGAGAGTCATTGCAACTCTGTCTCAGGAAAGAGCTATCAGAGCCTAGTCAATGACAGTCAAATGTGACAATGTACATCAGGAGGGCAGCAGAACTTAACTCTAGAGTTTCTGGGGGACACCAGTCCAGCTGGCAGAGTGAGTATATACAGGGATGGTAACAGAGACAAGCATGATGAGGGGGTGAGGATCTTGCAGCCTCCAAGAAGCAATGGGAATGTTACAAAAATTGGATGGATCCTGGAGGTTATGGGAAATTCAGAAGCAGCTGAAACCAGAAGTTCAGGAGGAGAGACTGGCATCAGAGAGGCCAGGAGGCAGCAGGCCTCCTCAGCATCACACCAGGCTCAGGAACAAGGAGCTGGGCATCTGTAACAGGGTCTTAACCATGTGTAACGAGGCAGAGACTAGTTTCCAGGACTGGATGCAAAGGTTAAGGTTAGGTGTCAGGGACAAGGTAGACACAGGCCAGAGATGGATTGACAATCATGACGATTTAACTCTGGGGATGCACTGAGTTGGCACTGGGGGCCAAACCCTGTCATGTGATTCTCTCTGAACCTTGTGTTGACCAAACCTCAGTATGTCACATGTGATACTTCCATCCAGAAAGTAGTTATGTACATATCTACACTTGCCTTATCCTCAACAAGCCACACGTTAAGTGCAAAGTCTCTGGCTGCCCAAGCATACCCTATGTAAGCCTAGTTAAAGGTTTATCTTGGCTTTTCCTATGCAACAGCCTCTCATTCCTGACTATAAGTAGTCATGCTGCACCCCAGCTCTGGCCCCTTATTGGAGCTGGTGCTCAGCAACCTCATCACCCGGAGCCCTCCTTTTCCATGTCCATGTGCCACACAGTGCCCCCCCACAATATTTTTGGACTTTTGTGTCTGTGTCTCCAACACTCCTTCCCTTTATTCTTGTTCCTAAGGTGAGGGAAGTCAGGGATGTTCTTTATGGTTTTTGTAGGCCTAGCTCTGTCCCTTTTAGCTGTAGGAATGGACAATTAAAGGAGTGCTAAGAATCTAGGTCCTTTTTTCATTTCTAAAAGAGAGAAGTGCCTGGGAATCACCACTAAGGTGTCCAGATCAGTTGCAAATGAAAGTTCACTTGGATCTGTCTTAGGGACCTTCACGCTACAGCACTAATACGCAAGAGAGAGATGTTGTCTCAGAACTGTCAGTTAAGTCCTCTAGCTAGTGTCTTTGTTCATTTTCCATTTATTTATTTATCGAAAAAAATTCTTAATGGATTCCTCAAGGGGTATGCCAAAGACAGCCCTTAGAAATGAGTTGCCCTGGGAGAGATGCCTCTCCTTGTACAGTGCTGTCATGTGATGTCCAGGGCCACCTGTGGTTGAAAATGCCAAGAGAAGACAGTGCAGGTTGGGAGGGCCTGTATGCTAGACCAGTGAGGCAAGAAACTTTATTGTTCTAACCCGGAGGAAGAAAGTGTGCTGAGTTTTCCAGACACAGAGCTGAGAATTGGGTCAAAAGACAGAAGGGAGAGGACTGAAATGAGTGACTTCTCAAAGGCAGAGGTAGTATGGTCCCTGAGCACTGACCCCAGGCCAGGAAGGTCCATTCTCCACATTGCCAACCTGGAGGTTCACAGCCCCTGGATCTCACCACAGATGGAGAGCCTAATGAAGGACAGGAGCTGGACTTGAGAACAGGAGTCGGGGTCAATTGCCAGGGCAGTACCTTTAAGAGGAAAGAGAAGCATTTTAAAAGAAAAATAAATAAGTAAAATGTAAAGATCACTTTAAGGGCCCAAAGTAAAATGGAAATAGTGAGTTGCACCTAAATTAGATGTGGTACTCAGGACAGCTCTACTAGCTAGAGTTTGGGACTGAAATAGAAGATCCACTGCTCCTCTGCCCTACAATGATTTGTTCCATACCTCCTCTTTTTATTTCTTTGATTGACCCCTAATCATTCTCCTTAATCCTTCAGCCCCTTAATATCTCTGTTTTCTGGCTAAATCTTCCAGTTATGAAGAAACCTTGTTTGTCAGGTTAACTTTAGGAAGACACAACTGACTAGCAACAGTCAAATGGGAAAAACTTCCTGGTTATGTCCAATGAGCAGGCAGGTCTTGAGGTTCTATTGGGTAGCTTTCCAAGCCAGTCATTACTGACTCTGATTGCATCCCCAGCTACTGTGATGTTTCTTTCCCAGGGGTAGTCTATAACTATTAGGGTCTTGCCTTCAAAACTGTGGACATCTTGAGAAAGAGCAGAACTGAAGAACCCAAAACGAAGGGGTCTGAGTCTTATACATCTGGGCAGAGAGTGATGAGGTCAGGTGAGGGTATGCACTCACTGGCAAATCCCACTGTTAAGAAAACTGACCTTGACTTTCTGGTAAAGCTAAGTTAACTCTGTTCTCCATTTGTAATGAACTCCAGTATCAGGAAATCATTTCTGCATCCTATTCTTATGCTTAGTTACAAAGGCATGGAATAAACCTGAACACGGTCATTTAAAAATTGCTCATGGCAGAAAAATCATGTAGTTCCTTTGGACTCACCCATCGTCTTGGGTTTCTAGTTAAGTTGTTAACACACCTTCTTTTTGTTGTTGGGCAAAGTAGGTGGGGACCCCTCTGCATATGTCCTCGATGGGCATTCCAAACTGGCCTAAGTTCTTGACTCGGATGGGTAAAACAGTGTAGGTCAGACCATGTGTGGATGGGCAGGGCTTGAAAGTCTGGAAGATACAGCATATTGAATGGTGAGGCAGCACACAGAGGCAATACAGACAGGGAGGAGAAACGGATTCCTGGGGCTCTGGCCCACAGATACGTGATGACAGTGCAAGTGTACGGCACAATTGACAAAAATAGCTGTGACGCCAAACTTGCCCTTGAGACTGGTCTCTAACAACAATATCCTATCTGGCCACAGGGTGGTGACATTACTCTGAAAAAAAAAATCTGTGCCATTGTTCTGGTGGCTTTTCTTGGGCTATTCCTTTCACTCATTACAACTTCACAACTTATCCAACTTTCAATGTTTTCTCTTCTCTAATGATACTTTAGAAGAGTTTTAAACTATTTTTGTGCTTTTACTTTGTTTTTATTCATCAACTCAAATAAGTAAGGATAGTTTTGATTTCTGTCTTTAAAAAATAATGATAAGCTGCTTTTTTTCCCCCGTGAGACTCGAAGTATATTATTTTCCCCCCAAGAGTCAGAAAAATCATCTTTGAATATGATGTCCTGTGTATGTTGTAACCATTTGACAGCAGATTTCAATGATCTGCCAAGGACTTCTTGCTGGTTTTTAACTTACTGGATTGCCATTGGCAAGAGAGCTGCCTCTTCAGTACTGGGCTTAATTTCAACTAAAGGCAATATGCCTGTATGTGTCTGGGGGTGGGCAGGGGAGGAGAGAAAGTGGGAGGATGTGACCACTCTACTGATTCACTCTAATGTTTATATTCAACAATTCATATTCCAGAATACATCAGAATGAGGACATCTCATGGAATTATCAATGATTTGACTTGAATGGGTTATTAACGGGACCCGGTCCTTTGAATGATGATGAGATTTCAAGGGCCTTAAGAACAAGCATGAAATAATCCCCCCCAATTCCCTTGAAAAGCATTGTCCTAGGGAACCAGCAGTTAGCGTAATGGCTATGTCACTGGACTCCCACGTAGTCGACCGCGGTTCGCGTCCCGGACCCGGTGGCTTAAAACTCATGCCAGGCGCGTGTGCGTGCGTGCCCAAGATCCCGAGAGGAGAATGGAGGAGAAGGGATTGCAGCATGGCCAGCCCCCCTGGGAGGTGATTTCTTGCTTTCTGTCTCTCTGTCTCTCTCTGTCTGTCTGGCGAGCGCATGCACCGTATAGCAAAAACCTCTTCAAAAAAAAAAAAATAATAAATTTTAGAGTTGTTCAACTATAACCAAAGTCCAATTTTAGAATGTTTATATCACTCAAAAAGTCCCTGGTGGCACACTTTTCTCCCAACCACAAAACTCACTTGTTTATTATTTGCCTTTTCTGACATTTCACATAAATGGAATGATAATGATAAAAGACAGAAAAAGAGTATAAGAATCTGTTCCTCCCTTAAATTGCTTGGTTTGTTCACTGCTGGACTCTGAAATTTTATTTATATTTTCACATGTCAAGATATCTTTTGCTTGAGAACCAGCAGTTAGTGTAATGGCCATGTCGTTGGACTCCCACATAGTCGACCGCGGTTCACGTCCCAGACCCGGTGGCTTAAAACTCACACCGGGCTTGTATGCGTGTGTGCCCAAGATCCCGAGAGGAGAATGGAGGAGAAGGGATTGTGGCGTGACCATCTCCCCTGGGGGGTGATTTCTCACTTTCTGTCTCTATGTCTCTCTCTGTCTGTCTGGCAAGTGCATGCACCCTTAGTGAAAACCTCTCAAAAAAATAAAAAAGATATCTTTTTCTTTAAAATCAAGCAGATAATTACAATACAGTATTTTTCAGCCATAACCAAAATAACCTCTTTAAAAGAGTTGGTTTTTGTTTAGCATTAGAAAGTCTTATTAAAGGAAGATAACTTGACTTTTGCTAGAACATTTTGTCCCATCCATTTAGGGGGAGCGAAGCCACCTAAAAAAAAAACCCCTTAAAAAAAAAAAAAAAAAAAAAAAAAAAAAAAGCATTGTCCTAGGATGTTGGGTGCAGAATTGCAGGACACCAAACAGGGAGGTCTTACTTACCTGCTTGCCCAAGGCCTTGCTAATGTCATTTATCGTTGGGAAGACCACTTGATCCATCTTGGCCAGGACACAGGCCATCTTGCTGAACAGCTTAGCTGCCAAAAGGGCCTTAAAGCAACACAGCAGAAATGTGTCACTCACTTAGAAGTAATGGAGAGACACCTGCTCCATCAGGAGCTGGCACATGGCTATTATGACTGAGACATAGCACACCCCAGCAGAGCGTTACCCTGGGCACAGAGTGAAGGTCAGCATTAGGACTGGCAGCTCTACAATTCCCAAGGGCTCCCTAGCACTGTGCTCTGCTGCTGGCAAGAGAAGGAACCACCCCTCCCCCAGGGTATTCTACAACCACTAATGGACAGGAGGGGGCTGTGGGTAACAGGTTGACTGGAAGATCTGCCACTCAACAGCCATCACAGCCCTCAATGGTCTCTGCAACCCTCAATCTCTTCATCTGTAAAGCAGGAATAGTCGCTCTCCATGACATTGTAGAGAAAATGTGAGAGCTGATGCAAGTCACAGAGTGCTTTCAGAATGCATGGGCTTTTAGAAGCATGTGTATGCATGCTCCACATCTCAAGAGAATGGAGAAAAGGAGGAGAGGGATTGTAGTGTGACCACATCTCTTAGATTGGGGGTGCTTTCTCCCCACCACCGGTATCTCTCTGATGAGTATATGAGTTCTCTGGCAATTAAAAAATTTAGAGTCAAGGCATAATAACTTCTATGGTACATATTGATCACAAGAAATGGGGGCTTTTTAGATGGTCTTTGGTGGCCATGTGAAGTCAGTATGTCAATATGTCACAGGAACATAAGGGGATGTGGGCCCCCTCTAGACTATGAAAGGTCTTCCTACATTCTCTGGCTCAAAAATAAGTCATTGTAACACAGGAAAGCTGATCCCTTACTTAAAAACATGAATTCCCATGCAGGGCTTAAACCTAGAGAAGGCAGGTAGAGACAGTGTCTTCTTCTCTGGAAAAGCATAGGCTACATTTTGGATCAGACAAGGCTTTTCTTGGGCGTTGTAATGAATTCATGACACATCTTACATTCTTGTAGTCCAAGATTCCAGCCCATTCACTCAAAACATTGTTGTCTTGGATCCTGACCATACCGTGGAAGGCATCGACACGGATGGTTTGGGTCCCAACAGAGCCACTCAGAAGATGGGTGTCACTGATGTTCTGGAGAAAATCATGTAACAATGAGCAAAGTTGAAAATCTAGAGTTCCTACTTTGCCCAAATCTTATATTTAAGTGGTGCTCATAAGAATTAGAGAGAGGTCACACTTGATTATCACCTACTAAATACTTCTGATAAAAGAAGACCCTTAGTGCTGTCACTCACCATCAAAGCCAGAGATGGGGTTAGGAGGAACATCACGAGGACGGAAGATGCAATCTAAAATGGAAGCAGATATCAGTACAACTGCCACGGAGCCTCGGGTGAACTCAGCATTGTGAGCACAAAACCTTGCTGAAACTGAGACTTCTTAAAATGGTCTATGACTTTCATCATCCATCCTGCCCTTGGGGCCCCAGCATGCATCAGGAGACTGGATTAACATGGCTGACATGGGCTGTACTGGCTGCTCAGGAGGCAAAGCTTTAGCATCTACTCGAGGGCTCCTTTGGTTTTGCTCTTTATTTCCTGTGGACCATGTGGCTAAGTATTAGGTGACCTAATAACCATTTGATCTACACATAGAGACAGGGCCATCCTGGGCCAAATTGTAAAATAAGTGATAATTTAGGTTTCCAGGTCTAATTTTTCTACATTTTCCTCGCTCCTTCAAGTAATGCTGGTCCATTCTCTTCTCCCTCTGGAAGCTGATAACCCTCTGATTTCCTTTACTCTAGATTCTCCTACCTTGCCTGAAAATAGAAGACCATGCACTGCTTATTTCAACCTTATTTTGATTTAGATTGTACCCAAATGAGACTAGTTCTTGAAATATTTGTAGGTAATCAGTTACTCCTTGCCTGTTGAAAATATGTCAGACTTCAAAGAGTAAGTGAAAGAGAATAGGCAGGGACAGGAATAGGCTAGGATAAGAAAGCATGACAAGGAGCCATTCCCACATCCCGTAGTCCATTATCTGTTCTACTTCAGCCTCATTCAGCCCAAGTGCACTCATTGTAAGCTGGCATTGACAGGAACTCCCCTTCTCCTTCATCCCCGCAATATCTCATGCAATATTCTACTTGCAATGACAACAATAAAAGCCTGGTTAATCTTCAAAGGAAGAGAAAATAGCTACTCTAGAAGCAACAATCACAGTGTGATAAGGTTAATCAAGGAGACACAGGAGATACAAAGAGTAACTCCATTTTATTAAACTACCAGAGTTGGTGCCATGTATTAAATACATCCAAAGCTTTCATTCACTGGCAAGTTGTAAATAGGACAAATCTAGGAAGAGAGGACTCTAAAATATAAATATCTTTCAGACCCCCATAATGATTCTTGAAATTTAAGAAGTTAGTTTTAGTTCCTTTGCAAAACACCATTCTTTCAGTATTACAAAATAGAGAAGCTTGCAAACAGAGAGGTTATGGGTAAAATTAATATTTTGAAATTTGGATTTAATCTGAAGAATTCATTGGGAAGAAAGAGAGAAAGAGAGAGAACTGCTTCTTGTCTATTTTGATTCTGAGATCATAATTTCCTACATTTGAAATTGGAAAACATACTTACGAGGCGTTTCATGTTGACTATTCTTTAGACTCTGTGCAACTGTGTGCATAATAGAACTTCCTATGTTCCTTTTATTTGCTAAATCTGGTTTATATAGTCCTAGACTTCCAGTTATTGCCACGATAAAGGACTCTGGGGAAGTTAACCATACTATTCAGGAGGAAACTAGGCAAGTTTATGTAATCATAGTTATCACTTTTCTTTAACTACACCTGAGTACTTCCCCTTTATCCTTATATCTCCACTGGTTCCAAGACAAACATGACACATGAACGAGTCTTTGTGGGTTGGCATGCCTATGACCTTAATGACCAAGGGAAGGATTACAAGCAGTAGATCCCCAAATGACCCTGATATAAAATCAATGAACTCATTGTTTCTACTTCTCAATTCCTGAACAGTTCTTTAGTAACTGGGGGGAGGGGGGGTAGTTGAAAGAACCCTCAAGGAGCCAAAAGAGACCATTTAAACTACAAAATTAGATGAATTGAAAAGCGATCTAGTCCTGCTCTTCAACCAAAACCAACATCACCTGGTTGACTGTGAACTGTCTTCTGCCTGCCCACCCATGAAACTGGCTTCATTTCACCCCTTCAGATATCCACCTCAGGTGATGCTGCTGATACTGTGATATTTTGTTCTTCATGGCTTGTCTTACTTCTTCAAGATTTCATTGTATAAAGGACCCTCTGACCAGTCCTGGGATCCCTGAGACATAAGGAAGCTATTGCCATCATATGACGAGTCAAACACCCATTGATATTTTCATGCATTATCTTATTTTTTTCTCATGCTCTGGTGATGACCCATCTACCTGGATCGAATTCCAGAAGCCCAGAACCAAACAGGTATTTCTTCTCAAAGAAGATGAACTGTCTAGGTGAGCCTGACACTGGAGGGAGCCCAGGAAGAAAGACAGGCAGCTCAGTCCTGACAGTGCATAATGAAACTAGGCCATGAAGACAACAGAGATAGGGATTAACAGGTTACCCAGGGTTAAGATAATATAATACCTGAGTATCTGTTACTCTTAGTTTTTAAAGAACACTCTTCAGTAAGCATGTACTCAAGAGTCACTTACTGAATAAGTAAAGTGTGTTACAAGAATGGCTTTCAGAGACTAACAAAATAGCAGGCTTATCTTTAAACAGATCATGGAAATAGGGATGAAATAAAAGTTAAACTCTTTAATTTGAAGTCCAGGAAGTTTGTGAGAAGCTTTATAGAACCATCGAATTTGCAAGCCTATAGAAATTAAAATGTAGTATAAGCCCTTTAACAAAAACTTTGCAGAAATCACCAGGAACGAAAACAGGAAGGATTATGAATGGTAAGGAATAAAAATAAAATGTAATTACATGTTTATAAATCACTTTATAACTTACAACTCACCTTCACTGTCATGATTTCACTTGCTCCGATTACCAGTCATATGGATTAGGAGGAGCAGTGATTGCTGGCCCATTTTACAGATGAGTGCATGAAGTCCACAGACTAACTCGGCCGTGATACATCAGTGCTGAGATAACATTTGAACTCATGTCTGTGGACTTCAAAGTCTCCACTATATGCATTTCCTCCCCACATACACTGCCTCTGAGGACTTGTTCACACAGAGTCTAAGTGTCCTGAGGCACAAACGTTCCGCAGTCATGTTTCTATGCTTTTTTGCCTTCAGATGATGATACTGAGCACTGACTTTGTTGGCACCTCTCTCTGTGCACGTGGACAGCAGGAACCATTCACATCCAAGTCACCCACCTGCCAGTCCTCTTGCCCAAGTTCAGGTACAAGGAATGGAGGGACCAGCACTAGAGGTAGCTGTGTCAAGCAGGAGACCTCTCCACCTCCACTCACACACAGAGATGATCCCAAATGAGTTTTCAATCATGGAAAAGTTCTGAAATGAAGGTGCACTCAGGAATTCGAACAAAAAAGAAGCCTGGGGTCTGAAAAGAGATGTGGAGATCAGGCTTCAAGAAATCAGAAATCCATGATGAGACAGGCAACTCTGTCACTTCCAAGGAAGGTTTATAGCTCACCTCGCACCTGTTATGTAAGAGGGTCTAGGTCTCTGGGACAGACTTTCAACTCCCTCTCTTAAATGTCTTCCTGTAGGAGTCTCTGGTGTCACACTCCAATTAATGGGGGTTTCTGGTGAGTAACAGTACAAGATTGGGAGGCAAGAAGGTGGTATGGTAGTTAGGGAACTGGACCCCCACATGGCCAATTACATTTCAAGTCCCAGACCCGGCGGCTTGAAAAATAACTTGTGTGTGCATGCCCAAATTTCCAAGAGGTGAATGGAGTAGAAGGGATTGCAGTGTGGCCATCCTCCCGGGGGCAGTGGTGGTGGTGGTGTGTGTGTGTGTGTGGGGGGGGGGTGGCAATTTCTCACTTTCCTTCTATCTTTCTCTGTCTCTCCCTGGCAGACATGCCCTATGGTAAACCCCCTCTCCCCCAAAAATTGCAAAATTGAGGTTTACAAAAAAAATATAATGTAAATGGGGCTATTTATTGTAAAATAAAATTATTATGATGATGCTATTTGAATGTTTGTTAAATACTGGTATGTGGGTTTTCTAATGATGACTCTACCACATATACAGTATCTTCAAAAAGTTTATGGAAAATACATATTATCCAAAAAAATGCATGGACTTAAAAAATTATGTGACAAAATAAATTTGTACTTTAATTTCATTTCCTCCATAAACCATTTGAAGTACTCTTGTATTCAAATCTGCATTTGGTTCTGTGAAGACTAATAGCCATGTGCAAAAAAATGAATAACCAATGTATTTGAACCATGGGATCTTATTAAAAAATCAGTGCCACGTTAAAGAAAATTTGAATCACCTGTTTATTTTTTGGCCTACATACTCCCCTCTAAACTCTCCCAGTCTGACCACTTCATGCCTTGAAAGTTACCCAGAGACTTCCAGGACTTGGCTGCCAACAAACTTTGATTCCCTGTATTTAATTTCTTTCCAACCTATAGCAGATGCTGACCAAATCTGGCTGTCCACTCTTGCCCGGAAGCAGCCCACATTTTCCTAACTCCCTTCCTTAGTTCAGGTTCAGGCCCAGAGACTCCTTTCCCTGCTTCTTCCTCCTATGTCTTCTTCAAGTCCAGTGTAAATGGCGTCCTCCCCATTCCCCTTCATTTCCATCAAAAGGTGATTTCTTCTTTGGAAATGTACCTTGCTTCTGCTATTTATACTATTTGTTGTGTTATGTCTATTTGTATAGGTGTCTGATTAGGCTGTTAAAGTGCACACTTATGTAACAAGACTGTAAATTCCATAAGGTTAGATACTTTTTTTTTGTTCTCTGCTGTAGCTCTAATATTTAGATTCAGTATGACACACGAAGTAGGTATTAAAATATGTGTACTTTAAGTGAATAAGTGAATGGATTGTACTAGTGGTGTATCATTCATCTCTGCATCTCCTGCAGTACGTAACAGTAGCTGGTAGAGTCAGTGTACAGCGAATATTTGCTGAATTTAAGGCAAATAATGGAATCAAGCATTTAATATGAATGAGGAAGATAATTAAAATCTGAACAGAATAGCATGTACAAGGGAAAACGGTCTTCTTGATAAACTCCAATTATAGTTTAATTATACAGTTAGCAGAGAAATATCATTAATATTTTTGTCCCTGGAATTGAGGGAGTGAAGGAAAGGAAATCAAAAGTCAGGTGTCTGCAAAGTTGTTTGCCTTTTATCTTACATCCTGGAACCTTTGGCAAGAGCAAGACTCCTTTGCCCGGATCCCTTGTCCTACTTGGTGTTTGTTAACAGGCTTTGATTTTCTCCATTAAGTACTTATTACCTGCTATAAACCAAAAACTTCCTTACCCTTATTTTACATTTTCTAGTTTCATCCTGGAATGCAGATTTCTATGTTCATCCCAGAAATTTAAGTAGTCATTCCATCATTGCAGAACTTCACTGTGAACATCACAATTGAGGAAAAAAATTTTTTTGAGAGGTTTTTGCACAAGTTAGGGCACAGGCACTTGCCAGAAAGAGAGAGAGAGACAGAGAGACAGAAAGCAAAAAAACCCCACCCAGGGAGGATGACCATGCCACAATCCCTTCTCCTCCATTCTCCTCTTGGGATCTTGGACACACACACACATGTGCCCAGTGTGAGTTTAAGCCACTGGATCCAGGACTCGAACCGCAATTGTTACATGGGAGTCCAGTGACATAGCCAACTGCTGGTCCCTAAAGCTCAATGCTCTTACTACTAAACATTTTGTTCAAATAAGAGCTTCTGTCCAAATGAGAAGAGACCTACATTTGGAGCCCATGCCTCCATGAATATATTCAAGAAGTGTTGCATCCAAGTTAAGATGTTGAATAATATTTTAGTGATCTGCCAAAGTCTCAAGGATATGCCAGTTAGCATCTGCTTGGGGGATCCTGGAAGATCTAACTTGAAGTGACAGAACTTTGCCTGTCTTGCTGTCATAGCTTTTGTGTTCTAAGAGTTGGAACCTTGGCAAAGCTGTCATTTCAGAGAAGGGAGTGAAACAAATGGGGACTTGGGCAGTGGGTAGGTTCAGGAGCTGTTGGAAAGGCTGTGTGCTAGCACACATAATCTCGGAAAGGAAATTGGCAGAGAGGGGAATGGGCAAGATACCCTTCCCTACTTCCTTACACTGTCCCCATGACTGCTATTATGAGTTAAGTGTCTTGTTAACAGAAAGTAATACTGCAATTGCTTAGGAGAGTCTTGCCTCAAAGAAAATTTGGGTTCCCAAGAAATTGTTGCAAGAAATAGATTTTTTTGTTTTTTCGGAGAGGTTTTTGCTATAGGGCGCTTGTGCTCACCAGACAGACAGAGAGAGACAGAGAGATAGAAAGTGAGAAATCACCCCACAGAGGGGATGGCCACACCGCAATCCCTTCTCCTCCATTCTCCCCTTGGGATCTTGGGCACACATGCACATGCACCTGGCATGAGTTTAAGCCACCAGGTCCGGGACTTGAACCACGGTCGACTACGTGGGTGTCCAGCGACATAGCCACTACACTAACTGCTGGTTCCAGAAATAGATTTTTTTAAT